AAATAGCATATAATTGTTTCCAAAACATTTCCCATTGTTTTCTAAGGAGGAGATCACTGAGTTTTGATAGTGACCTGCTAGGAGGACTTTTTGGCATAGGGCAACGGATAAAATAATTTGAGAGAGAGAATGTTATTTACATGTAAAAAAATTTATAGTCTCTTCTATACAATCTTTGTACTAATACTTTGGTTGGGGTTTTTTAATGCTGTATACATTAGAAATGTTGTACCCCTTCCCATATTATATTGTTTCTTTGAATGGGGTGCTTTTCTTACCACCCAAGGAATTTCAAAATGCTTTGTCATCTTCAGATGAACAGAAAGGCTAACTGACATGCTCAAGACAACACAATAAATCAGAGTCTCAGCTGGGACTAAGACTCAGAACTCCGGGTTTCTAGTTCTCTCCATGAGCCATTTGGCTAAATACCTAGATCTGTTAGGGTGTGTCTAGACTGCAGGGATTTTTTTTTTGAAAAAGTGGCCTTTAAAAAAAACAACAACAACAAAAAACTCCACCCTTCCCCTGCGTCTAGACTGCCGCTGTATTCTTTCAAAATTAAATCAAAAGAACGCAGCGGTTTTGTCGACCACGGTAAACCTCGTTTTACAAGGAATAACACATTTTTCAAAAATGCTCATTCGAAAAAAGGCGTTCTTGAATGCAAACAGGGCTTTTTTGAAGAGAGCATCTGGCCTGCCTGGGTGGGGTGCTCTCTTTCGAAAAAGCGGCTTGCTTTTTTGAATGAAGTGATTGCAGTCTAGATGCTCTCTTTCGAAAGAGGCTTTTTCAAAAGATTCAAAAGTGACTAAGGCTAGATATAGCCTTAGTCACTTGGGGCCAGTTTTTCAAAGGCATTTAGGGGCCACTGAAATTAATGGGAGTTAGTTGCCAAATCTGTTTAGGGTATTTTGAAAAAATCCCACTCTTGGTAAAATGCTAAAATCCAATGGGCATTTGACCAAATGATTGAAAGTCATGTGACCAAGTAATTAATTTGGTGGAATTGATTTTACACATATATCCATAAGCTGTCATTTGTTTGTAATGGAATATTCTTTGACAAGGTGTATTTTCTAGTTATTTAACACTCTGTGGAAGCCTCACACTCAAAGTAGGACCTGGGGAGGTACCATCCTCCAACTTGATTCCTTCCCCTCATCTCTTTGAGGACACATTATTCTTGGCCAGAAATGGGGAGCGGAGAGGGGAAGTCAAGTCAAAATGCAACATATATACACACTGGTAATTTTCAATGGTTCAGTATTAATAAATATGATTGTGAACAGAGAATAATAAGTGATCCTGAATCCTACTGAGAAATAGGCTTCAGTACAATTATTCCTGACTTATACTGGTGAGAGAGAAGAAATAGATCCACAGTTATTTGTAGAGCTGAATCTAATAGCATGCAATCTAACACACATAAAAACAAGAAAGATTGTGTGACATAGGTTTTCTCCAGGTAAGACTATAAATGGAATTTTGCTGACTACTGACTGAATTGATAGTCATTAATGGGCAATTCATTTCCTACCAGCAATCTGAAATAAATCAGTTGAGATGGTGCAAAAAACCTCATTCACCATCTACCTTCTAATTATGTTAATGCACAGTACTTACACTCCTGCCAAATAAATTGCAATTGCCATTTGAAAGCTTTTGGTTGTTTAACTACTGGTTTCTAATTAGAAAATAGACTTCCTGTAAACCCCGGGATGGACAAAGAGAAGGATTCAGTGACAAAACCAAAGGGCGAGGGGTGGCATCCAGCTAGCTATCTTGGGAGACATGCTGGAGGAGGCACATTGCAAGGACAGTAGAGTATTTTGATTTTTAATTTGTGCTGTAACCAGTCACCGAAAGGCTGTATGCACTGTGCAGATTAAGATGCAGCTTAAGCATCTGGGCATGGAAAAGGAAAAGAGGCCACTGCAGAGTTGAGCTGAGAGGCATTGGGCATGAATGTCTTAAGAGGGGCTATTCCATCCTGTGTCAGAGAGCAGTGTATGTTCCTCCAGCTACAGGCTCAGGTCTAGTGGATGGTGAAGGAAGTCCAGGGTCATGAGTCTCATCCTTCGGGCTGCCTTGCATTACTGGCAGCCCTGCTCTGACCTCAATCCATCTAATTACAACAAATTATTATTACCATCCTCATTTTACAAACGAATGAACGGAGGCACAGTGAAGTGACTTTCTAGAGTCCAAACACCAAATCTAAATTAGAATTGGAACATCCTGGCCTCCTGACCACCCAACCTGAGCTCTGACCACCGCGACGTTTTACATGCAATGGGAAGATTGACTCTCTCAATTATGTGACCTGATAGATACTGGTGTGGTGTCATGTGGAGTGCCATCATGCCAAGAACTGCCACATCTAAAAGTGGCACTTATCCTTGTGGTCCTAGTTTTGGATGAAGATGACTGGTGGACACTAAGCTACCATCCCTTCCGGAGTGAGACATTAGTCATGGTGGTCTCTAGAACTCAAGTAGGGATGCCAATTTTGGTTGGACATTTCCCTGGAGATTTAAGCACAAGACGTGATGATTAGTTGCTGGAGGACTGGCAACCTTAAACTTAGCAGGTCTGTGGGTAGTGTAAGTCAAGGCAGTACAGTGGGACAGGGAAGTGAGATTACTCTTATTCAAACTGGCCATTCAAAATCATTTTAAAAACAGAAATTAAAAATTAAATAAATACAAATATGTCATTTCCAAAACATGCTGAGTGTTTGTCTTTATTGCATACCACTGCAGATCCAACCCGACCGATTTTGACTGGGTTTCCTCGCCCAGAGAGATCTAGTTTTGCTCTATCCATCAAGTACAGGCAAGCATCCAGAATGCCCTCTTCAAACTAAATACAAGGAAAAAGAAAAAAGAAAAGAGGCTGTTTCAACTCTTATTCTGGAAAGCAAAGAGGAAGCTAATATTTTTTGTCTCTAAAATAAATTGATCAAGGTCATGTTTTTGTTCAGTGTTTAGATATACAGGTTATCCTTTTTTTGTTTTCTTGTTCATTCACTAATTATTCACATTTACCAAGAAGTGTTTCATGTGAGAAAATGTAGTCTTACTTTCAAGTCAGTTCTGATCTAGGTAGCTGAAGGTTATGGCAACAAAGTCATTTCTACATTACATAGCATTTTAAATGGCTATCACGAATATAATACAAAATTATAACAATAACAACAACAAGAATGCTGATCTATTCAATGAGAACTCCGTGTCCTTCACAGATCTTGGACCCGTTGATTACACAGGACCTTTTAAAATAGCTACTTCAGTGCCCAAAGCTGAACAATAAATGCTTTACCAAAGTTAGGGCAAAGTCTCTGTACTTTAAAAAATAATAGGTTTGTACCTGTGTATCAAATTAACTAGTTATCAGGTACAGTGCATTATATTGATTGGTTCTGGCCTATGTAGTTTAGACTAAGAAAAGCACAAGTGACCTAAAGTGGTCTTTTTTAAAAAACATAGTCTAAAGACTCCCAGTACTGAAATCCAGTAATAACAAGCGCACGAATGAATAGAGGGCAGAGGTGCCTACATAGACCAAAATCCATCATCAAATAACTTGCCCTTTGGTATAATTCAATTTGCTTAGGAGAAATTGGATAGCTGCAGAAAATGCCACTGTCCCCTGGAAGAGAATAGGGGACAGAGAAATGCACATTACTAAAATGATCATCTTCTATATTCACAAAGTTACATTTCTATTGCAGGCTGTGACATACATTGAAAGGTACAAACTACTGTAGGTCTCTCTCACTTGTTTAATTCCATGCAATCAATGGGAAGGTGCTATACACAGTATTTCTTAAAGAAACAAATATGCTATAAAGATTTTTGTTTTCTAATTGATCTAATATAGAAAAACTGAATTGATCACTAACTATCTAAAGTACTGATATATTGTTGCCATCTCAAATGCAATATCAACCAAGATATCATTCAACTCATTGGTTCTACTAACCACAATTGCACTAATTTGGTTTCTTTGGCATTCAACCGAAATTCATTATTATATAATCAGTTATGACCTAAGACTGCAAAACTGAATTCAATAGAGCAACGTTACCCCATCTCAGAGGCTATTGACATAGTCATATCAGCCACAAAAATCAGGGTGTTAACTTAATGATGCTGTTTGGAACTTTACCTCTCATTTTAAAACCTTCAGTTTGAGCAAAACATCCAGGTGAGCAGTGTTTGAAATATGCTTGTAGGATATAAAATATCACGATGCTCTATATACAAAGGGAAATCAAGCTACCAATACTTCAAATACAGCCTCATTTACTGCCCTAAACCCTGTAGGGCCCTATCCATTCATGGTGCCTGTCTGAACTTTAATTCATTCCCACCTATTTTCTTCATTCCTAACATCCATGATTCCTCAATTAAATCAGAACATTTTTCAAACCGACTGAACATCGGGCAATACCCAAATGAGAGGCAATTGTGTAAGTTAAGGAACCTTGTACATTTCTTTTCATTTGGTTGAAAGTTAGACCATCCATAGTTTTCAGGCATGCTTTTCCATTGTTGAGCGCCTTGAGTAGAACTTGAATGATCAAAATTGCTTTCACTAAGTTCCACCTGTGATTAACTAAGGGCGCGTTTACACTTCAGGGCTTAATTTGAAATAAGCTATGCAAATTGAGCTATACAAATTGCGTATCTTATTTTGAAATAGCATATTTCGAAATAGAACATAAGAACGGCATTATTGGGTCAGATCAATGGTCCATCTAGACCAGTATCCTTTCTGCTGACAGTGGCCAAAACCAGATGCCCCAGAGGGAGGGAACATAACAGGCAAACCTCATGTGATCCCTCTCCTGTCATCCATTTCCAGACAAACAGAGGCTAGGGAAACCATTCCTACCCATCCTGGCTAATAGCCATTGATGAAGCTAACTTCCGTGTATCTATCTAGCTCTTTTTTGAACCCTGTTAAAGTCCTAGCCTTCGCCACATCCTCTGGCAAGGAGTTCCACAGGTTGACTGAGCACTGAGTGAAGAAAAACTTTCTTTTGTTTATTTTAAACCTGCTGCCTATTAATTTATTTTGGTGACCCCTAGTTCTTATATTGTGGGAATAAGTAAATAACTTTTCCTTATTCACTTTTTCCACACCAGTCATGATTTTATAGACCTCTATCATATCCCCCTTAGTCTCCTCTTTTCTATGCTGAAAAGTCCCAGTGTTTTTCATCTCTCTCCATATGGGACCTGTTCCAAACCCTTAATCATTTTTGTTGCCCTTTTCTGAACCATTTCCAGTGCCAATATATCTTTTTTGAGATGAGGTGCCCACATCTGTACACACTATTCAAGATGTGGGCGTACCATGGTTTTATTTAGAGGCAATAAGATATTTTCTGTGTTATTCTCTTATCCCTTTTCTAATCATTCCTAACATTCTATTTGCTTTTATGACTGCCGCTGCACACTGAAGCTATGTCTACACTGTTGGGTTTTTTTCAGAAAAAGGTAATCAAGTTGCGAACCACAATTTGAGTACCTTTTCTAGACACGGGGGGATTAAAATGACAGTAGGTATTGGGCTGGTTTGGAGCTTAATTAGTTCTCTTACATAATGCAGTAAATGGTTGTACTAATAAAAGGAAAGAGCAAATAATTAAAGGACTTAAATATACAGTCATGTGCAAGATGCTGTATTCTTTTGAGCTGCATGATTAAGTTTCCTTTCAACTGATTTTAACATTGTATTAAACATCAACCATAGATAAAAGAAAGCATGTTTACAGACTTGTTAAGATTGGTGTTTCCACATCCCACACTGTTACTGCCAAAGACCAGCCCTTCCCCAGCACAGACAGCTCAAAGGAAAGACATGATCCCACAGAGTTCTTGCACCTCCATTTTTCAACATTACATTTCATTTGCCATTTATTGCCCAGTTTTCACCATTCTGACCCAGTATTGCCATTCTTAGGCACTGAAATCCTGTCCATTCTTTGTTTTTCTCTTCTCTTTCTTCAGCCCCCTTCATTTTTCTCTCCTCCAAACGAACAGTCCCAGACTTTTCAATATGTCCACATATGGCAGCCACCCACATTCTCACAGTCTGCCGTCTTAACTATCTTGAGCAGTTTGGTATCATCTTCAAATTTTGCCACCTCACTGTTTATCCCTTTTTTCTAGATCATTTATAAATAAGGTGAATAGGACTGATCCCAGGACAGACCTTGGGGGACACCACTAGTTACCTCTCTCCACTCAGAAAAGTTACTATTCATCCCTACTGTCGTTTCCTGTCTTTTAACCAGTTATCAATCCATGAAAGGACCTTCCTTCTTATCCCATGATAACTTACTTTACTTAAGAGCCTTTGATGGGGGACCTTGTCAAAGGCTTTATGGAAATCTAAGTATACTATATCCATTGGATCCCCCTTGTCCACATGTTTGTTGACCTCCTCAAAGAACTCTAGCAGATTAGTAAGGCATAATTTTCCTTTATAGAAACCATGTTGACTTTTCTCCAACAAATTATGTTCATTTATGTGTCTGACAATTTTATTCATAACTATAGTTTCAACTAATTTACCCATTACTGATGTTAGACTTACTGGTGTGTAATTGCTAGGATCACCTCTAGAGCCCTTTTTAAATATTGGCGTCACGTTAGCTATCTTCCAGCCATTAGGTGCGGAAGCTGATTTAAAGGATAGGTTACGAACCACAATTAATAGTTCCGCAATTTTCACATATGAGTTCTTTCAGAACTCTTGGGTGAATGCCATCTGATCCCAGTGACTTGGTACTGTTAAGTTTTTCAATTTGTTCCAAAACCTCCTCTCAATCTGAGACAAGGCCCAGGTTTGGGAATTTCTTTTACGTAGGGACTGTCCAGTTTGGCCAATGTATATAGCAGTGGAGCATTGTTGGCACATGATGGCATATAGAAACCAACAGAACACCACTGGCCATCACCTACAGTCCTCAGCTAAAACCTCTCCAACGCATCATTAGTGATCTTCAACCCATCCTGGACAATGATCCCTCGCTTTCACAGGCCTTGGGAGGTAGGCCAGTCCTTGCCCACAGACAACCCGCCAACCTAAGCATATTCTCACCAGCAACTACACACTGCACCATAATAACTCGAACTCGGGAACCAATCCTTGCAACAAACCTCGGTGCCAACTCTGCCCACATATATACACCAGCAACACCATCACAGGACCTAACCAGATCAGCCATACTGTCACTTGTACATTCTCCTGCACATCTACTAACGTTATATATGCCATCATGTGCCAACAATGCCCCACTGCTATATACATCGGCCAAACTGGACAGTCCCTACATAAAAGAATCAATGGACACAAATCTGATATTAGGAATGGCAACATACAAAAACCTGTAGGGTAACACTTCAATCTTCCTGGACACACAATTGCAGATCTAAAGGTAGCCATCCTGCAGCAAAAAAACTTCAGGACCAGACTTCAAAGAGAAACTGCTGGGCTACAGTTCATCTTCAAGTTTGACACAATCAACTCTGGATTAAACAAAGACTGTGAATGGCTAGCTAACTACAAAAGCAGCTTCTGCGCTCTTGGAATTCACACCTCCAGATCAACTGCTAGAAGTGGGCCTCATCCTCCTTAATTGGATCCACCTCATCATCTCCAGCCTGATCCTGGCCTGCATATTTATACCTGCCTCTGGAAATTTCCACTACATGCATCTGACGAAGTGGGTCTTTGCCCACGAAAGCTTATGCTCCTACACTTCAGTTAGTCTATAAGGTACCACAGGACTCCTCACCGCTTTTGCAGATTCAGACTAACACGGCTACCCCTCTGATACTATCCTGATCAGGTGGTCGATAATATATCCCTACTGCTATATTCCTATTATTGGAGAATGGAATAGGAAGCATCTACGCAGCACAAAATAGAGCAGTCTTCCTCCAACTTCCCTTACCCCTCGTACAATGAGGGTTACAGGAACTGGAGCAAGAAGTCCTCCAGCTTGACAGTATTTTGACACTATTTAGAAATAACTGCCTGATGTGTAGATGTGGACTAAGTTATTTCAGAATAGCGCTAGTTATTTCACAATAGTGTTGCAGTGTAGACGTACCCTAAAGGAAAAGGACAGTGAATGGTACATAATAATGGGAAAAGTTGTGTTGAAATGAAAAAATGAAAGCACAAGAACCAGATCCATGGAACAATCAACATGTCTGTGAACATGGAGAGAGATAGGTGGGGAAAGAGAAGGAAAATCAATGTTTCACAGGGAAATCAATGTTCGTCTAAGGAAAGTTCCATAATGCAAAATTATTATTTTAAATCCAAGAAAATCTTATCACTGAAAAAGTTCTAAGAACTCTCTCAGCCTGTATCATAATAACATGTGAGAAGAGGACACTTATTTCCACTGAGCTACTAGAACTAATGTGAAGAAAAGAAAAAAGGTAAGAACTATGCCTGGAATTCTATTATGCAATATTTGAGGGCTGTTTAATTGTTTGTTAAAAATAAATGCTTACAAATCATTGTCTCCTTTTTCTCTTGAGCCAACGGGCTCGATTCTGAAGAGGCGAGAATGCAGCAGAAGAAATATCGGTGCATTTCAGAAATAACAGCTGATTACTTTCTCATGCCCCTAAAACTAGCCCTTTGAATATTAGATATTATGAAATTATTTTTCTGGATTAGGTATATACCCACTTTATGCAATATTAAAATTATGACCACTGTGATAATGCACCTGAGAGCCTACAATCTCACCACAGTCTGGGTATCAATTAAACCCAATTGCTGAGCACTGGGGCCAGCCAGGGAAATTCTAAATGGCTCACCTGACCATAATTCCAGCTTCTGGATTTTATATTGTTGATGTCTCCATGGAAAACAACACCAATGTCATTCAGGACATACTCTTGCCTTTCCTTCTCGTCATCCAGAAACACTGAATCCTCTGCACCATAACAATACACAATAACCATTAATATAGCCACTCTGTTTGTATAGTGAACATATTTTAAAGCATTCTAGTCATCTTAAATGAAAAGTGACTTTTGTTCACCAGGTACAAGTTTATTTCTTTCTACACAATGTTATAATTATTATTATTATAATCACAGTTAGAAATAAGCCACACAACTGAGAAATATGCAAGACCCCAAATGCTGACAATTCATCACTGTTTTTAGCAGGATCTGTAAAGCATGATGAAAATGTCACATCTTATCAACCATTTAATGATTACTGTGCATCACTAATTTAAAAGTCTGAGTGCCATGACGCACTTCTGCATCTGCAAAACAGATCAAAGACCAACAATTTCAAACTTACTAATGATAATGGAAACTAGTTCAGTGTCAAGTGATTTAAAGAAAAAAGTCAGTATTGCCTTAAAAATGATAACCAAACTTTTCCCTGATATTAGCTAAGGAGTTTGGACTCTCTTCCTGTAAATATGGCTGTTGTTATATGTTTGGCCCTATTAGCATGATTGACCATCCTCTTGCCTTTCCAAGAGGAAAATAAATTGAAGAGTCCTTGGTAAAAATATTTTTTACGAATTTTTTTCTAAATTTATTTCATTTCAATCAAGAGAATATTGACTCTGAGCCTGCCAACACTCTCTCACAGGTTGAAAATACATGAACAACCCCATTGAAGTCAATGGACCGCACATTCTTAAAGGTAAGCGCGGCGGCCATTTTGATTTAAATGAAGCAGCGATTATTTAAATTGCCGCTTCATTTCCCTTTGTCTTCCTACCTCATCTACATGGCTCTGTCAATGGAGCCATGTAGTCTAGACACACCCTAGGTGTGTGGGTTACATTAGGCACAGCTCAACATACATAAAAAACTGCAAAGAAAAAAAAATGCTTTCCTTAATTCTCTATGGCCGTGGCATACAAATACACAGAGTGAAACAGGAGATGGGGTTCTGGTTTACACTTACAAAACTCAAAAGTGACTTTGGATTTATCAGATAGGTTCATTCACACTGTACTGTGCGGTTGGCATCACAACTACTACTTACTATGATATTTTCAAGTGACAAAAATATGAAGTTTTACCGAGCTGCAAGAGTGCATAATATTTTTTGCACGGATTTTGCCTGATCTCCCTCAACACCCTTCTAACCAGGAGTCTGACTGGAACAGATTTGTAGTACTGTGCAGCAGGAAGTTACATGGTGTGATACTCTGCCCCCGCTCCCCAATGGCTGGGCTACCCACAGATAGCCAGTAGCAGGTTCATACCCTATGAACTGAGGTTATGTCTACACAGCATGTGAAAGTGTTCAGATAGGCATACCCACACTACCTTTAATCTAGCGAGCATGACTGAAACTAGACACAAAGATATGGCAGCATAATATTCCATACAGCCTATCAACCCGAGTATATACCCAGGGAACCAGTTGGTCTTGTATGGCCCACACTGAAGCCTACCCAGCCATGTCTTCACTGCTATTTTTAGCATGCTAGCTAGATTAAAGCTAGCAAGTTGTGCCTACCTGACCTGCAAGTCACACCTCTGACTGGTATATAAATATACACTAACAGAGCTGGGACTTTTAGTGCAGGTAATACTAGAGAATCATGGTTTCCAATTCCTACAGAGATTGAAATGTTCAAGACAGATCTTCAGATGGCATAAACTGAAACAGTTCCTTAAGGTCAGATTCTCAATTTATATAAAATGAAGGAAGTAGCGTGTCAAGTGAATTTTCCCCATGTCTGGTTCCTAGTTCTGAACTACTCCTAGCGCTTTGCCAATAATGTTGCATACCTCCCAGATCATAAGGGTTCTACAGCCTATTTGATTGGTGCTGATTTGCATAAATTTCAGATTGAGCTACTGTACGTATTTACTCATTGACCTTTGCATTTTAGTAAAATACCTTTGTAAAGATGATGATGAGAGAGAACATTAAAGGGAATGAAAATTGCATCTCCTTCCATCAACACTGATAATTTACCCATTCAATAGATGGGTAATGACTATGATTTAATGATGGCAGGTATTTCCTTTCACAGATTAAAAATACCTGTTGAATCTTGTGGGTATCAATTCTGTGCAATTTTCAAAAAGCAAAGACATTCAGTCTTTGCAAGCTTCAGATGAAATCCTTTGCCATTCTGTTTTTGTTTTCAATATTTGTATTTATTTTATTTTTTAGTAAGAAAGAGAGAGAGAAAAAAGAAGCTCAGCTTTCACTGAAAAGTGGAAATAAGCCCTTGAAACCAATTGCTTTGATTTTTGACAGCTTTCAATACCACTGGCAGTGTTTAGAAGAAAACACAAAACATTTGTGAGCTACTTTGATTCTAAGCAATCTGCTGGCAGCACAATTCCAACATTATTCTGTGCTAGTGGAGCTTCAGTTCTGATGAACAGGACTCCATGAATTCTACTAATTAGCTTTTGCTATGGAAATACATAAAATTCTAGCAAGACAGCAGTTAACTGCCTGTATTTTATCTGGATGAAAATTAGTAAAATACACCTGGCCTGAATAAAATAATGCAGTTAAATGGCCCTACTGTAGGTTGGCTCCTTTGTGAGAGTAAAGGAAGGACTCAGGAAGACCCTCACAACTTGCCTCCCTAATACTGGGGAAACCATAGCATGCCCTGTACCCTCGAGTATAGGAAGTGCCCTCTGCTAACACCTCCTGAAAGATAAACCAGAACCAGATTGAACCAGAGACATCCAGAACTAAAAGCATTAGCAGCTATAACTTGAGCTAAAGCTCACTTAGCTAGGGCTGTAGCAGACTCATCGGCTACAAAGCAGGCACAGAGGAGGATCTGTTAACATTCACTGATGTTAAAATGGTGAGTTATATTTGCATGCCTACATCTGGCTGTGACTCCTCCCACTTTTCTCCTTGCTATGCCCCTGGTTTCTCCATAGAGTATCTTACTGTGCAATTTTAAGTAACTCAACTGTACACTTTTTAGGGCTAATTCCACTTAATGTCATTTTACTGAGGATTAATCATATATCTCCCTAAGCAAATACATAAACTAATCATTACCTGTGTTCTCTTGGACCAGAACTTGGGAGAAATCACACCATGTACAAAACAAAGTGCTGCCCAGTACTCAATTAATAATGCCACACATTTAGTACAAAGTACGATGCTCATTATTTGGCACTAAAGAAACTTATAATCTGTTCCCTATAATGTTTATATATCTACCAAGAAGGAAGAGTTCCAGGAGTGCATTAAAGCATTAGTTTCAAGGCATTCTAGATTCTGGAGCTGTCTATATTCCAAGTTTTATCATGTTGAAGTACAGTGCTCCTAAACTGTTTGGAAAGGTGCTGATCAGAACTCGCAACTCATTTGGACTCACTTAAAAAATGCCACACACCTAGAATTCCCTGAAAAATGCACATTTGTGAGCACAAATGCTGATTTGGATGTGCACAAATGGAATGCAGTGTCCTTTGCACCAGGTTGTTGGAGAAGGGATTGCTTGAAACTATTGTATTCTTTTCAGGGGACAGGTTTGATGGAAATAAACCTGGTAACTTAAAAACATTATAAAATAAATCCTGAACCAATGCCCACAAAACTCGGTGGAAAGACTCACTGATTTCATTGTTCTTTTAATCAGCCACGTAAAGAGAGTGGTCAAGCAGCTATTTACGTCTCTAGTACTTTTACCAAAAATTAAAAGTAAAGCCACCAGCTACTGCCCACTCACAAACCAGAAAATAACCAGCCACAAGTTAAAACAATAAGTCAAGCCCAGATAATAACCCCCCAACCACACACTTATCATACCCTGCCTCCCCAAAAGCCTGGGAAAACAAGTAGGGAAGTATGAACATCTGAATATTGTACTCCCTTTACCTGGGCACCAGGGATTAAAGAGTATGTAGGTGTCAGTCTCGGGGTTTCTCTTTGTCCGAAGGATGCCAAAGGGAGTCTGGATAGCGACATAGAGGCGAAATTTCCCCACAATGCAGGTCGGAGCAGACATGATGGACAGCCTAATGGAACTGTCTTCCTTCCAAGTAATCTTGGCTCCCCATGTCCCGCTTTGCAATTCTTCAACCAAAGGGACTGGGATGTATGTGCCTTTGTTTTGCTGTGGATAACGACCTATAGTAATGGAAAGAGGAGGATCCTTTTGTGAACATAGTCAAAAGCTTTATAAATGCCTGAGTTTAACTCTCTCATTGCTTCCTTGTTTCCCCCCAGTGTGTTTGTTGCAAGCCCAGTTCTCTCCTCTCCAATTTATTTAGGACTATTTTCGTTAAATGTTTGCACAGTCCTTAGCACAGCGGGGCTTTGGCCTGTAGGTATTATTGCCACATGAGTAATACATAAAACCTCATCTCAGAATATTTTAGATATTGCATCAAACTTCTCATGAACTCCAATTGCTCCTTTCCCTAATAAATCGTAAGTCAGATCTCAGTAAGCTCTTATATAGATGAATGGAACCGACAAGTCTAATAGATTGAAGATACAGCTTTTATGTACTTTGAAGTGGAGTAGGCAGGACATGTAACTGATTTTCCTTCCCAGTTCATTTTATAATGCTGATGTAGAGATAGTGCCAGATCGGAACATCCCAAAATATTGGGATAGTACAAATCCAGATCTGGATGTGAATTTTAGAACATGGCCCGTCTGCATTTTTCAAGTTTGGGTCCACTATTTTTCCATTTGATGGATTGTTCAGAACCACATAGATAGCACATTTTGGCCTAAAGTCCAGGGACGCAGTAGCCCAGAAACCTTACATGTTCTGTTTATTGGGACATGGAACAGAGGAAATGGACCTGCAAAAGAAAAAGGAATGAGAAAGAAAAAGCAAAAATTAATAACAAGCTTAGGAAGATGAAGTGCAGAATATCTTAAAAACGCCATTAAAAAAGTAAGGTGTAGAGGGATGAGAGAGAATAGAGATGACATTCTGTGATTATTAACAATTGGGATCTGAATGTAGGATTTCCTTTTCAACTGGTGCTGGATTTGATCTTTCTTCCCACTATAGTGGTAGTTTGCTCCTACTTTTTATGTACAGGAATTGTGTAAACAATCCGCAGCAGAGCCAGCCAACTACACACTGGAAACACACACATATTGCTTTTGAAAATACCTTTCTTACACCTGTGCAGTGGATTGGTATTAAAACTCTAGTGTGCATGAGACTTAGGAACCAATTCTGCCATCCTGTATACACAACGTGGCACCATGTAGAAGCTGAATAGGATCCACAATCAGGTAGGTGAGAATTCCACCAGCACAAAGCAGCATGCAGCCTTTGCATGACACCTTTGCCTTCTGTTCCCTGGGCTACACGTCTCATGAGGTACAGCACAGGCTCCAGCACTTAGATTCAGATGATTAATAGGAATTCACTGATTGCGTGACAAGAGACCCAATCAAAAATCCTGAGAAATCTTATGATCTGCAATTTAGCAGGCGCTCTACTACAGATATGAAGATTTTAATTATTAAAGCAATAAAGGCTAGAAGGTTGGGGGGAGGTTGTTGCGTGTGTTTGCTTCTAATTTTGGGGTGGCCCCTGAATAATTTTTTCTGAGGGTCAGTGGTCCCCAACCCAATAAAGGTGCCCCAACCCTGCCACAAAGAAAGACAATGTGGAAAGCTTGTGTTTTGGACATAAATTAATGTTTTGCTTTATTTAAAACAAAATTTGGTAAACTAGCATGATAAAGTTAAAGAATGTAATCTGCTTAATGATTTTGAATAATAATATTTCCTTTCTTGCCAGTTACATAGGCCCCCTTACGTGATAGCTGTGTACATATGTTTTTATGCTTCAGTGGCCTCATATGAATAATTTAATATTTAAGGTAGAGATAAGGGAAGGCATTTTGTTATCATGCATGGTCAGTGTGCCACAGACTACCAGCAGTGTTCCCTCTAAAATGGGTGGCAGCACAGCTTCACAGGTCAGAGGCCCCGCCCAGTCAGAGGCTCAGGCTCCCTGCATGGAACTGTCTGATTGGCCTGGGCTGATTAATCACCTGTGAAGCTGTGCTGCCACTCAGCTTAGAGGGAACATCCAGCCACCCAGTTTAGAGGGAACACTGCTGGTAGTTTGCGGAAAGGTTTCCATTGAGCGGGGTGGACCACAGGCCAAAAAGTTTGAGAACAACTGATCTAAAAGTTCCTCAAGAGATGGAAGTAGACGATCCCTGTCCCTTCCAAAAGGGTGCTACTAGGTGATGATATTTTTTATGAGCAGGGCATATATCCACTTGAAACTGATCTGTGGCTACAAATAGAGAACTAAAGCATTAGATGGTAAAGCCTTTGTTCACAGTCCAAATTCAAACCAGTGACCTAACACTGATATCCTCCATACCCCTCCAACAATCCCTTGCACTGTCTTGTCTTCATTTTTCTTAGTCATGTATTTCATTTGGCTTCAGGCCCGCCAATGGGAAGTTTGTGGGAAAGGGAGCAATTACCTGGAGCCCCAGACTCGGCTATCAGCACAGTGGGGCTAAAGCAGGCTTCTGGTCTCTGCCACTCCTGGAAGTGCAAGGCCCCTGGAGGATGTCTCTGTGCACTGTTTCGCCCCTAGGGCCAACTCTGCAGCTCCCATTAGCTGGGAACTGTGGCCAATGGGAGCTGTGGAGACAATGCCTGCAGACAGTTGTGAGCGGAGACCCCTGGGCCTCCTGCCTAAAAGCCATATGCCGGTTGTTTTGAGAGTCTCCCGAAGTAAGTGCTGCCACCCTGATACCCTCTTCACCCCCAACCACCTACCCGAGGTCAGAACCCGCATGTGGTCCCACATCCAAATGCCACCCCAGAGCCTGACTCCTCACCCACTCCCACACTCAAACTCCATCCCAAACCCTCTGCCCTCACCCTGTCCAGCACCCCATCTCCCTCCCAGAGCCTGACTGCACACTGCCTGCTGCACCCCAGCTACCTGCCTCAGTCTGGTGAAAGTGAGTGAGGGTGGGGGAGAGCCAGAGGTGAAGGAAGGCAGGATGGACTGAGAGGAAGCGATGCCTTGGAGAAGGGGTGACACAGGGACCTGGCTTCAGGGAAAGGGTGAGGAGGAGGAGCAAGGTTTACACAATTAGGGTATGTCTACACTACAAAGTTAATTCGAACTAACAGACGTTAGTTCGAATTAACTTTGATAGGGGCTACACATGCAAACAGCTAGTTCGAACTTAATTCGAACTAGCAGAGTGCTTAATTCGAACTAGGTAAACCTCATTCCACGAGGACTAACGCCTAATTCGAATTAACTAGTTTGAATTAAGGGCTGTGTAGCCACTTAATTCGAACTAGAGGGAGGCTAGCCCTCCCCAGCTTTCCCTGGTGGCCACTCTGGCCAACACCAGGGAAACTCTTCTGCCCCCCTCCTGGCCCCGGAGCCCTTAAAGGGGTACGGTCTGGCTACGGTGCCCGTGCCAGGTGCAAGCCTGCCAGCCCCCAGCCAGCAGACCCTGCACCTGGCATGGATCGAGCCACCCACCCGATGCCCCCCCGCTCTCCCCCTCT